AAAATAAATAAATAAAATAAAATCATAAAGAGCTTCCAGGTCAGAAAGATGGGGTTCTTAATTCCAGCTCTGCCACTTACTGATTGAATGTTTCTATGCCTCAACATTTGCATCTGTAAACATGGGAGTAATGTAATGACAGATGAATTAAATGAGATAACGTCTACGAAAACTCAGGGCAAGCAAACATGGGAAGAAGAAATGAGTTCAAAGCCCACTGAATTAGTCTCCTCTCTGTGACCTAAGTAAGCAAATTCAAGCCACACTGGCCTTAAAGCGTCATGTTAAGGGTGGCTGCAACCGTAGTCCCCTCCAGAAGTCCTCCACTGGAGAATGCACTGGAAATGACGGGCTATCTCAGGTTCCTGCTCAGTCCTTTCCAAACTGCGGCCTGAGTGCCACCAGTGACTTAGCAGAAGTTTCTGGGGACCTCGTTCACCCCTATTCTGCCTGCTCTTAGCCTCTTGCTTCCTTCTGCTATGAGAGATGCAGAAAAAGAGAATGATCAAGAAATATCCCAAAAGTAGCTAATGTGACAGCTGTCTGAAGAAAAACCCAGATGTTTGTACTAACACTTCTTGGCTCTCACTGAGGATCCCTAGCTGAGTTAGGTTTCTCCCTACACTTGACATTGGGTATTTTCAGAGGAAACTTTCTCCCCTACATTTTTTTAATGGTGTGGTGGGAAGAATATATTTTTAAGTGGAATGTATGTTTAAAGTTAGAGAAGATAAAATCTCAAAGCCCCAATACAAACAACTAAACCACAATTCAAAAACTTTCTCTCAGACTGAAAGGAAGCCAGCAAGCCCTAGAATTAACTCTGAGCCATGGTGAGAAGCACAGAAAGCAGGATTCCTTGTGAATTGCTGATCACCCCAAGTACAGGGTAACGCAACACATGGAATTAGCCATGGGGGACTTTAAACCACTGTCTACTGGTCAAACACAAAGGCTCATATTAACAGAATAAAAAAAAATTATAAAAAGGTGTTCTTTTTAAATCACAGAAAGCATAGAAGAAAAGCCATGTGATTGGAAGTCTTAAGGAAAATCAAAGCTTGACTTCAAATAAGCTTTTCTCTGGAGGTAAATAAATACTGCAGCATCTGCCTTCAATCCATTTTTGGCTGGTTAGGATTAGCACATTCTACAATAGCTTTTCAGTGTTGATTTCACAAAAGATAAGCAATATATTATTATGAAACCAACAGAAATTATTTTTAAAATTACACCAGAGACTCACAAACAAGTCTACTATAATTTCCTAACAAGAAAATAGTATATCGCCTGGCTGGAGTGGCTCAGTTGGTTGAATGTCCCATGGACTGAAAGGTCACCGGTTCCATTTCTGGTCAGGGCACATGCCCTGTAGGGGGTGAGGCAGCTGATCAATGTTTCTCTCTCTCCCCCACCTCTCCTTTCCTCTCTCTCTAAAATAAATAAAAACATTTAGAAAAGGTAAGCTCATGCAACTTAATTGCAAACCTCCCAATTATAGACATTAAAATCCCCCAAAATAAATGTAAGAACCCAGTGTTGTACAGAATCTGAATTTTGATTAAAATGAAACAAAGATTAATATCTGGTCACAAGATCTACATGTGAGTAGGAAATGGAGTAAGGAAGAAATACTCATGTTAAAGTTAGTACATATCTGGACAACTTCAAATTTCTGCAGAGGAAGCAAAATAAATGGGGTTTATTTCTCTGAACTTCTTCAGAGCATGTTAGTTTCATTTTTATACCATCTTTTTTTTTTATAAAGCTTTTTAAAAAAAATATTTTTATTGATTTCAGAGAGGAAGGAAGAGAGAAAGAGAGAGAGAGAGAGAGATAGAAACATCCATGATGAGAGAGAATCATGGATTGGCTGCCTCCTGCAAGTTTTCACTGGGGATTGAGCCCACAACCCAGGCATGTGCCCTTGACCGGAATGGAACCTGGGACCTTTCAGTTCCCAGGCTGACACTATCCACTGAGCCAAACCAGCTAGAGTGATTTTTATACCATCTTAAGTGGTTGTCTACTTGTTTCATAAATGTAAACTTTATCTTCTGCAGTAAATATTAAGTTCTCAGGGTGGATCCAGGTTTTGCAGGGTCAGCATATGTAATCTGAAGGGTCCTCTCGAAGAAAAAAAATACAAAATTATGAATATAAGTTATGTAGAGGGGGTTGCAACTGAGGGTCTTTGGAGGGTAAGTACATGCAGCTTCTCAGCAAATTCACCACCAGGGTGAGAACCAACCAAGCCTTATATATCCGTTTCACCCATGGTGTCCTGCAGCCCTGGGCATTTCACAGGCATTCAATACATGATGATTCCACTCACCTTAGACGCAAGGGAAAACATACTATGAGATTAAATTCAAGGCCAGGCCCTGGCCCATCCAAATGGTTCAAGATAAACCTTAACTCTTCATTCAGTTATACCTTAAATGACTGTTTGAATTACATGGAATTTGAATTCATATTGATTCCGTTATTTAATCATTGTCATCTAGTTAATATTTTAAAAATCCAAAAATGTCTACAATAGGAGAACAAAGAGAAGATTTTTTAAAGTCATCAAATAAAAGCTGGATGTCCACGAGTCATAGACTAAACACTCTAGTTCCTGTGTGTCTGTCCACTGTTTGTGGTGAGCAGCTGGAATTCACGCGCGCGCTCTTACTGACTGTGGTCCTCTGTAGCTTCGAATCGATGGAGATACCCCAGAAGTAGAAGAGGTCACCCCTTCCAAGAAACTCTTGCAGGAGTTCTGAGGGGTTGACCTATTTCCTCCTACTGCCTGCCAACAGTTAGCTTACTGCAGCCTTTTTTTAAAAATAGAATAGCAAAGAGAAAACTCACATAATTCTTCAGGTTCTATTTATAGGTGAGAGGTATTATACAAGCAAACAAACTATGAAAAAAATGACTCACTAATCCCACAGGTTTACACTGCAGGCTTAGTATTTGAAGTTACTGCTATGCAAAAATCTACAGGACTTTCTAAGTCCAGAGTTACCATAACCAGATCAATGCATGATAAGGAGAGAGACCTTGTGAATGCTCCTGAATACACAGAACATACGATCCTAATGATTTCACTCTGTATGCATCTATGAGGAAAATATCTTGAGAAAAGCCCACTGTTATCAATAATCTTATTTCCATTGGAATACAACTTGATTATTAAAAGGCCTTTCCTAAGACTGATAGATACAATTGCAGAAAAATATTTAAATGTCTTCATAAAAAGAATATGAATAAATAACTTTGGAACCCAAGGGACAAATTAGGAAAAATATTTCCAACATATGATAAACAAAGCACCAATTTTGTTAATATACAAATAGTTGTAATTAGCCGATCAATAATTAGATGACAAGAGTCCAAAATAAAAATAAGTAAAGAATATGCAAAGACAGCTCACAGAAAACACAAAGGCCCCATTAAGCATTTTAAAGAATGCTAAACCTCACTCATAAGTGTAAGAAACATACATTTAAAAACAGTGAGTTATTTGTCAGTGGACAGATCATGATAGAGACAGTTTCGATGGCAGAGTTGGCAAGGGTGTGGGGAAAGTGAGGGAAGGGGCACCCTCCTCTGTGGGCAGGAGTGTGGCTCGTGCAGCCGTCCGGAGGGCAATCTAGCAATACCTTTCACATTTTCAAGTGCTAAAACATCCTGACCTATCAGTCACTCTTCCATGAACTTATCCTATGGCATTCTCAAACAGATACTCAGAAGATATATATTCAAAGACACTCTTTACAGTATTGTTTAAAATTTTTTAAAAAAAAATTTAAAAACTGGAGACAGCTTAACCATCTATCCATAGAAAAGTCAATTCAATAAAAAGAATATGATAAATCTACCTACATGTGCTGATTTTGAAATAACAGTTTATTTGAGCTTTCAAAATGTCAGCCCTGTTTCAATAAGCCCTTTACATATGCTAATTCCCTTAATGAACAAAGAAATCTCCAAGATACAAGAGTGGAAAAAAATATTTCAAAGCAGACTGAGTATTGTGATTCTATTTATATCACATTTAAGTGTATAATCTATATTTAATATCACATGCATGACACATATCTATATAAAAGTACAAATCTATAAATGTACATACACGGCTCCAAAATTTGGGAAAAATACAAAAGCGATGGAAGTTATTTGGGAAAAAGTTGCCACAAGGAAATATTTGTGTTTTTTTATACCTTCCTACAGTATAAGAACGTTTAACATGAGAACATATTATTGTCAACTTTTTAAACCTAGTTAAAAATCAGTATTTAACAACTCCAACAAAAACATCCTATCTCATTTCCTTTCTGATACAGGAAACCCTAGAATATAAGGGTCTGGATGAGAACTCTCATGATTCTAAACCAATTGTCTGGCTTATTTTTTAAAAGACAAAGTTTAATTAGAAATAAAGGGGGAAATACAATCATCGGTGTGTGAGTTACAGTGTACACTGCTCTACTATATGTGACGTGTGACTTCACATCAATCAGGGATGACATTTATGTGCATGTCCATAAAGCAGCCGATGCACAGTGGTTGTTGGAAGTTATCATCATCATTTTTACAGCCACCATTCATGAGCTGCTTCCTCTAGATTTAACACTGAGCTCCATACTTCACACATATTAGCATATTTAAATCTCACAACCCAATGGAACTTCCGGTGACTTAATGGAATTATATGAAATTATAAACACATGGACCAAATTTTAGGGTGCCAAATAGTAAGTGAATTCTATAAACAATCAAGCCCAGATTCACAGCATGTACTCCTAACTCCTAGATTTTTTGAGATATCTTCATCAGAAATAGACCGTAAAGTGGCTCCTGAATAATCTCCATGCCATTTGCTCCACCCCTTCCAGGTAATCCTTTCTCATACATGTCACTCGGCACCAACTGCAGGTGATTCAGAGCCCATCCCTCGCTCTGCACAGTCCTCCATTTCGCTCCCCTCTCACCCGCCTTCCGATCCTTACCTGTCCAGCAGTAGTTCCAACACTTCTTTGGTGGAGGCAAAGCCTCTGTACGTTGACAGGAAGATGCTGATATAGGTGAAGTCATTGTCCCCGAAAGCCGTCAGCAGGTTCTCCACCAGCTTCTCCAAGGTGCCGGCTTTTATCGTTCTGATCTTACAGGTCTCATACTGGCTGACGGTATGTCCTGGAGGGACCTGGTCCCCTTCCACCTGTACAATAAATGCAGGCTGTGAGTTGGAGAAATAACACTGCAAAGGAAAACTGAAAACACTGAAATAGCTGAATCAAAGCCAGCCATGCTTTCTCTTGCTCTGATCTAATTGAGTAGGGGCTGGGGTTGGTGTTGGTGTTGGTATTGGTGTTGGTGGTGTGTGTTTCCTTCCTCTCTAGAAGTAGAGGTATTACTTCACCATGGTTACATTTGCTTCTATTTACTATCCTATCAAGAACTAGGTTACTGACATATTTTATCAAGATGTTCTCAATAACCCCAGGAGCAAGTTTAGCAAATGGTATCAATCATCTCCTTTGTATTGTTCCATGGTAAGTTTTCAAACTCATCCTTTGAAAAGAAAAATTAATATATTTCTATTGATTTCAGAGAGGAAAGGAGAGGGAGAGAGAGATAGAAACATCGATGATGAGAGAGAATCATTGCTTGGCTGCCTCCTGCATGCCCCACAATGAGAATAGAGCCAGCAACCTGGGCATGTGCCCTGACCAGGAATCAAACCATGAACTCCTAGTTCACAGGTTGATGCTCAACCACTGAGCCACGCTGGCTGGGCTATAAAATTTTTTTTTTATTGCAGTTTGCATTCAATGCTATTTTGTATTCGTTTCATGTGTACAAAGTGTTCCCTCCAACAATGCAAGTGACCACCTGGCACCATACATAGTTATTACAATACTAGAGGCCCGGTGCATGAATTCATGCACAGGTGGGGTCCCTCTGGTTGGCCTGCACGGATCAAGCCAAAACCCACAGTCCAACACCGCATGCAGCTCCCACCTACCACTCCTGCTCATCCTGGCCCCACTGTGCCTGCCGCAGGCTTGTGCCCAATCAGTTCCAATCGGGAGAGGCTCCTGCTGCCGCAGCAGCGCTCTCCAACCATGAGCCCTGCATCTGGCGCCTTCCCAAGGGGAGTGACCTGCAGGATTGGGCTGAAACCGGCTCTCCAACATCCCCCGAGGAGTCCCGGATTGCGAGAGGGCACAGGCCAGGCTGAGGGACCCCACCAGTGCATGATTGGGCCAGGGAGGGACCGTGGGAGGGCTCCAGGGCATGTCCAGCCCATCTCCTCAGTCCGGACCAGCCGGACCCCAGCAGCAAGCTAACCTACTGGTCAGAGCATCTGCCCCCTGGTGGTCAGTGCACGTCATAGCGAGCGGTTGAGCAGCCTTAGCATATCATTAACATATTACACTTTGGTTGTTCTGCCATTTGATCTATTTGCATATTACCCTTTTATTATATAGGATTATTAACTATATTCCCTGTGCTTTACCTTAAGTCCCCATTCTATTTTGTAACTACCAATCAATACTTCTTAATCCTATTATCTTATTTCACCCACCTCCAAATCCCTTCCCTTTGGCCTCCTCAGTCAGTTTGTTCTCTGTCTCTATAAGGCTGTTCAATCTCCTTCTTAAAGACAGCACCCACAGTGGTGAGCTGGAGCCAACTCATACTGGCTTTGGACAGCTGACTGCTAAATTGTAAGCCAGTTGACATCATACTGATTACTTGAGAAATCAGCCATGGTAGGTATACATTCTCCATGGAAACCTATGGAGGTGTGACCATGATCTGATGTTCTTCAGTCCATGGAAGGCAATATACTTTCTGACTTAATATCATCAGCAATCAACATAGTTGACTAAGAAGTGGCCAGACCAAGCAGCCCTAGGCTGATCTCTGGGGAGTAATGAAAAGGGTGGGGAGCATGACCCCTTCCTTCTGGAGACTTGCATTGCACAAGAGAATAAATCTGTTCATGAGAAGTAACTGTCACATGAAAATGAAACTGTGAATAGTGTTGGTAGGTATAACTGCACCTTGGAGACATAAACCATAATACTTAGAAGTGATTAGTGATAAAATCTGTACAGCTTAAAACCTGAGTATGAAGGAAGAGAATTAGGTTAAAGAACAATACAGATATGCCTTACATTCTGCAGTAAATCTGTGCTTATCAAAGTTTACAGAGATGCAGTATTCAAAGCTGAACTTGTCCTTCACAGGTGCTGGGGAAGATGACCTAAGAATCTGTTTCTAAAGCAGGTAATCACTCCACGTGATGCAAAGCCTCACGAGCCAATTTCTCTGAATTGTAAGTGTGAATGGTTTTATATCAAATTCTTCTCAATGGAAATAATCAGACATGTGAAAATTAAAGACGGAAAACTGAATCTCTAAATAGTGACATGTGCTTACTATGCAGCATGCTTGCTTTTTCTTCATCTGGCCTGTCAGAAGCTAAAGCAGTGGAAGGAAGCCAGCAGGCGACAACGTTGCTTTCTGTAAAACCAAAGTGGCGGCCATCTCCGCCCGAGGCGTTAGAACAGCTAAGTGTCACCACGTCTAACTGCCAACAGGGATTAACAGGAGCACTCCAGCTTATGGACTGGTGACTATTTCTGTATTTAATTTTGGAAGATACTAAAAAGGGGGGTCTGATTCAAGCAAAATACCAACTGCTTCCTTAGGCCTGTAACTCAGATCATGGCCTAGTAACTGTTGTTGATCACTCTGTGTATACTTTCAGAACAGGCCTAATATTTCCTGTCTGTCTCCCAGGAGCATCGATTAACTTTATCCAGAAGCAATGAATGAAAAAGATATAGGTTTCAAAGCCTAATTACATTTTTAACTACTTGGTACAGTGGTGCCCTATGTGTATACTATAAAATACTCATTCCAAGTCAAATGGGGCTAAGGTCAAGTCTGGGAGCTGTAGAGTTAAAGTCAAGTACATGGCTTTATTTTAGAATCTCTTAATGTCTTTCATATGCTAATATGTTATAAAACTCCAAGAGAAGGATAAGGTATATTACACACATTTACAAGTGAACTTCCCGTTATTCTCACAGCATCTTGTAGAATGTTAGAATGAACAAAGTTAGGGAAAATGTTAGCTTAGTAAGTCACTGGGATGCATTTAAAACTTAATTCACATTTGTCACTTCTCATTTAAAAATGAGAAAAATGAAGACTAAATATAACGTTAATTTTTATCTTCTATAAAAACATCTCTAGTTCTTTGACCTCTCTTAATACCAAAATTTAGGGATATTTTGCGTGTTTTACTTAGTCATTTTAAAAGACCTGGTAAAAATAATTACCAGCCTGATAATACTAAAAAGTGACAGTCAAAGAATACGCTTCAGTGTCAGATGTTAACAACAAGAAAAGGGAGAGCTTCTCAGTCTGCGGGAATATTCACGCTTTAATTCTACATCACGCTTCCTTACCTTGTGACAATGTCAGGCTTCCCTTACCAAACAGCTCTGTAATTTGATGATTCTTATTTTACTCACAACGCAAATTCCAATTTAAAACTAAATCCTTCCTTATTGAAAGTAATAACTATTTAACAGAACAAATTTTTCACTGAGCATTGATGTGGCCAAAAACTCAAACACAGAGAAAAACGCTTGTCAGAGGACCTGATGAAGTGGGTCCCTTTTCCTGCCAGAAAGCGGACTTGGCAGGAAGCCACGTTCTCCCTTGGGAATGAAATCATGGCGCTCATTAACCCAGTCGCTTCCTTTCAGTCCGCCTTTTCCTCTGAAAAAAATATGTCAATGTGCATGCTGGATCCCCATAAGTCCCTTTCAAGGTTTTTGCTCCTCAGTGTTTGCATCTGTAAATTAGGAAGAACGCTGTTTGGGCTAACAGGATAGCTAATCAAATACTTCGAAAATTTTGATTTTAAAAATCCTTCTCTAGCCCGGCCGGTGTGCTCAGTGGTTGAGTGTCAACCTATGAATCAGATCCCTGCTCAGGGCACATGCCCAGGTTACAGACTCCATCCCCTGGAGGGAGCGTCAGGAGGCAGCCAATCAATGATTCTCTCTCATCATTGATGTTTCTCTCTCTCCCTTCCTCTCTGAAATCAATAAAAAGATATATATTTCTTAAATCCTTCTCTAAGGGCGATGAGTGAGCATCAATGACAATGTATGAAGCGAAGTGAAGTACAGGAATTGCTCTAGTGCCTAAACTTACTCTCCCCCAAATTAACAATGCATGTTAGGGCATCAGGGCACTTGCCCAATGTCACCTTTTGCACATCTGCTCAGCACCCTAATATTTACTTGCTATAGCCAGGGGAAGATGAGGTGTTTGAAGATGGGTCCTAATTTACCAACGTTCAAATAAAGTACATTTTCATAATGGAGGACAAAAACTTAAAAATGATCTATCCACTCATTACTGAAATTATTTTAAAATAAAATCATACAAAAGTGAAACACAAAAGAAAATATAGGCTCTGCCTTATGGTCAGACTGGAGAAACTAAAATTTTGGTTTCATTTTTGCAGCAAAATATTCATAACCTTTTAAGAGACTTTAGAGCTACATAACCCTTTTAAGAGACTTTGGGATCTTTTTGTTTGTAATATCTCAATACCTTTGAATTCTAGTTTAAAAGAGAAGTGAGGGGGGGGGAGGGGCTTGGCAGACAAGTGTTTAATAACCCAGACTTCGAGGCAAGATGTGGAGGGCTGAGCCTGCCCTCTGGGTTAGCACGCTAACAGGAAACAGCTCAATCTGGATTTAATCAGAGACCATCGCTTTACTGACAAGATCATGATACTGAGGCCACAAAAATGTTTCATGACTGTATTTTTGGCCAGTCTTTCCGCCATTAGAATTCAGCTCTCCCTAAGAGAATATGTCTGACTCCTAAGGGATAAATATCTAAAACTCTGCCACGGAATTTTCATAATTATCAATTTTGGCATGAGGGAGACAGGAGAAAGAGGATGTGGGAGATGAAATGTGCCATATTTCAACTGTTTCCAGTCATGGAGAAACATACCCTTTCATTGTCTAAAACATAAACTGTTAACAAGTTGGGTGTTTCCAATTTGAAAAAAAAACAAGTGTCCTTCAATCAAAATAATACATCAGTTATCTGATCCTCTATCAGCAGCTGCTAAACAAACAGCCCGTTAGCCTGGAGGCAGTGTGAAGTCCC